TTAAAAAATTGTTAGTCCGTACCTTCTCAGGTCATCCACAGCTCTAGTCATTGAGTTAAAAGCAGTCATCTTTCTGCCATAAACTTCCAGTACTCCTTGATTGATCCCTGGGCCATATTCTACACACTGACCCAAAGCATTCCCAACTTACTCTCTTCCATGACTGGTATCTATGCCTAGCACTGGCCTTCTGCCTTAGTTTTCTTATTATGCCTTAAATTTTCCTCTAGAAATGGAGCTGGTTGCCAAAATTCAGATTGTTTGACTGAAGTCCCGACAACTTGTTTGGGTTTTATCAGATTCTTCTCCTTGGGGATTGAACCCCATAACTTGTAGCCTCAGCAACAAGCAGTGGCCTCCTTCAAACTAACATCTCTACTAGGAATCCCTCACTCTACCATCCAGCATACTGAAACCCTTTAGGTATTCTTGCTGGCTCAGGACAATTTTAAATTTGTCGCTTTCATTTCCAGTCTTCAAACAGTTGGCCATACTCAGCCAACAGTAGCCCTCTAAAAATAAGTACCCCTTCCCTTCTCCATCAGGGTACACAGTCAGGATATAGTAAAAATGATCACTGTAACAATAGTACCACACGGACCAAAACAAAATTGGAGAATATGGACTAATGTTGCTATTTGTGTCTCATTCTTATTTTGTTTTATTTTGTAGCATAAGCCTTTTCTTTTCCTTCTTCTCTGAGGCCCAGCTTCTTTAATTCTTTCTTATTTTAATTAGCCTCAGGGTATTCAACTAACAGGTCTGCACTTACTCACTTTCCCTATTCTTACCAATCTATGTGTAAAAATTGAAAAAGAAGATTATCAGCCCTATTTTGTATAATCCAAAATATTCAAATTAGAACAATGAAAGATTGTTTATCCATCCAACTGATAGAATAGTTTAACACTGTGGTTAAGATCTAGTGAGATCGTCTCTCATACCTACTCTTTAAGGGACTAGAAATTAAAGCAACCTTTTTGGAAAGCAGTTTGTCAATATGTACCGAGATATTGTAAACTTCCCATGTTTTGACTCAGAAATTTTACTAATGGAATAAATGTGGATAGAGATTCAGAGTCATTCCGCTTCTCAAACTCCTGAGCTCCTTCTCTTAATATAATGGAGTAAACTTTCCTGCTTTTGCTTTTGTAGAAATTTCCCATCTCCATATTCATACCCCACTAGAGGTTTTCGGATACATTTCGCTGGAGAAAAAGTCTCTGTTTATGATCCCCTCTAGTACTTCTGTTCACTGTACCCTGTCTTGAGGTGCTAACAGAGTAGAACAAGTTAGTGTTAGCATCTGACATATAAAAGCATTTATGTCTTGCTTTATGCTATTAAGTTAATTTGGTGGTAAAAATAATTCTATATAATATTCTATAAGTTCTTGCTAGGACCATGATATCTTTCTAATGAATTAATTATATTGCAGAGGTATTTTGGCATGTATAATTTTCTATAGTATAAATGGACATTTCATTTGGTTGAAAGGACATGACTTCTTGTTAATAAATGTTATAATTTAGCTAGCAGTAAATCAAGATCCAGACCAGGAAAGCAAAGAACTAATAATTATGCCTTGGCTATGTTAGCTATTGAGACTATGAATAAAAAGTTATCTAAAAGTCTCATGAGAAAGGAGAATCATTAATATGACATTGTCATCTCTTTCTTGGGTCACTGTGCCTTTGCCAAAGAATGAAATGTTCTTTTTACAAATATATAATACACATATTAAAATAAACTTCATAGATTAAATGGTTTTAACATGCAAAAAAGTAGATAGCAATTTGTGTCTGCGCTTAATTATTTTAGAGTATGTAAAAAGCACATAATAAGATCAATAGTTGCTATGTAACAAGGATGGCACATTTTTAAATAACTACATATTTACTAATTGTCATGGATTTTTATTTAAGTATTACTACTTGAAGAAAGCAAATTAATGTGCATGCTGAACCTTTAAAATTGGTTTTAAATGTACAATGTTGTTACTATTTAGTTAAAATTTTGTAATTAAAAAATCCTATAGCCACACTGCTTACATAATCAACTTACATTATTTAATCACTATCACTTTTTAGTGCAATAAGCAAATTCTAAGCAAATATTTTCTTAGATTATCATCAAGACATCACACTTAAGAACATTTTAGAATTGCACTAATGACCTCATTTAAAATAGTACATAGAGCTTTTGAGAAACCAGTAGTTAAACAAACAAAAACCTTATTTCTTGACAGAAGCAACTAGATTGAGAGTGAAAATGCAGGTGAGAAAAGTTTACTTCAAGAAATAGTCAATTTTCAATTTTGAAGGAAGACAAAAAAAAAAATCTCAAATTAGTTTTCAAAATTGAAGAACCAAATGACCTAATAATTCCTAATGTATTTTAGTATGCTATTATTAAAATTAAAAGGGATAATTTCTGACATACAAAATGTGACACAGATGTTATTTATAAAATATCAATTTTAATTTATGTGTAATAAACATAGATCAGAGGAATATTGAGGACATGCTTTAATTTTAATATTTTTTAAAATGCAGTTTTAGAAATTGAATTAATAAAATCTGAAAATTTTGGGTCAGGAGTGGCCAGCAGAGATCATCTCATAAACCACTAATCTAGATAACAAAATTTGTCTCTATTAATAATGTAATTTTCATTATTATGACATTATTATTTCCATTTTGCACATTACAAAAAAGACTTAGAGAAGTTGAGTAATTTACTAAAGCTATAAAGGCAGGAAATGAGCTGAGAATCAATTT